AGCCCCACCATTTGTACAATTTTGAATCCCGGCCTCCCATGAATACCTCCGACCAAATATGATCAATATCCATGGCATAGTTCTGCAGAAGAAGTCGTTTATAGCAATATAACCAAATTGCCCCCCTTTTGGCCCCGCCCCTCAGCCCCCTGGGGGGTCAGCCCAACCGTTTGTACAATTTTGAATCTCCACCACCTAGAGATGCTTCCAGTCAAATAAGGTTGATATCCATCGCTAAGTTCCAGAGAAGAAGTCACTTAAAGCAGTATAGCCAAATACCCTTTTTGGCCCTGCCCCTCAGCCCCCTGGGGTGTCAGCCACACCATTTGTACAATTTTGAATCTCCACAACCTCAGGATGCTTCCAGTCTAATATGGTTGATATCCATCACTTAGTTCCAGAGTAGAAGTCGCTTAAAGCAGTTTAGCCAAATTGCCCCCTTTTTGCCCCGCCCCTCAGCCCCACCATTTGTACAATTTTGAATCCCCACCACCTAGGGATGCTTCCTGTCAAATTTAGTTTAATTCCAATCAGTGGTTAAGAAGAAGAAGTCGTTTAAAGAAATTGTTGACGGACGGACAACGGACGGACGACGGACGGACGCCACGGTATGGCATAAGCTCACCTTGGTCCTTTGGACCAGGTGAGCTAATAATGATGTCAAATAAAAGCTGTATACAGTATCAGACCAGAAGCCTCAACATCTGACGCTTTCCATCATAATGAAACTTCACAGAGTAAAAACTCTGTTTGAACAAACTTGGTAGCCCTTCATGCCAACATCCTTCAGGCCAAATATCATCACCCTGGACCTTTTGGTTATACAAAAGAAGTTGATTAGAGGTTTTTAAGACAATTGACCCCTGTGACCTTGAATATGAGTGAAGGTCATTTGTTTGAACAAACTTGGTAGCCCTTCATGACAACATCCTTCTGGCCAAATATCTTCGTCCAGGTGAGCTAATAAAGGTAAGACAAATAGAGTTTATATTATTTATTATCAAACATGATACCAGTTATTATGATTCATAAATAAAATAACCATGGTTTTAATCACCATCACAATTAAATCTATCACCATGATGCCATGCAAGTAAACTTGTCCATTCTTGCTCCAATACTTAAGCACAACTTCAAAGTATTATTGACAAAGCCAGTATAAGTCATCACTCAGTGTTCACTATGTCTCCTAATGAATGATTAACTACAAAATTTCAAATATTTTACAAACTAGATTTGTTCTGTTGTACTTCATATGATATTGATTATTAACGATTGGAAATGTTATCAGAAAATGACTTTGAAGCTGTACTTTACACTGTCCTACTATGTTGGCAAAAAATAACCATTTTTCCTCAGTTATATCACTTTACACTTATTAGCACTAAATGATACAAAAAAGAGGTATTTATGCAGTCATTTTCAAATAATCTACACCTTTTATATTTACAATGGATTTCCATGTTTCCCCTCTTATAAAGTAAACTTGTATCCGTTGATTAAATCAATTCGGATTGAAAACAAGTTTAAAATCTCCAACTTTATACCTGATAAAAATAGTTTTCTCCCAACTTATACTTGATCTGATGAATAAGATTGTAACTAAAGCAGGTTACATTAATAACCCATAAGTAAAGAAACAGTCATTAGAGACAAGCACAATTTAATTTCAATTAGTCATCACAATATTTCACCGCGAAATATTCCGATATAAACTATATATTATGGTACTCCCAAAGATATCAGACGACAGACAAATGCATAAGTCTAAACAACCTGATGCGGAGGAGGATTGAACAGGCCTGTCTACACAAACTACATTTTATGCATCTTCTTGTATAAATTAAGCAACAGTATATGATATATACAAAGTATAAGTAGCTTGAAACTGTTAAACAATGCACATGACAGTATGTACCTTCCTCTCAAAATGAACAAACCTCATTCAGACACATGAACCAAACCATCATCTACACATTAAGTACATCATTCAAACTATGTTTCTACTAAGACACCGCAAAGCCTTCTTTTGTCAGTTTTACATCACTCAACAACACAAGCTATGAACCACCGAGTGATATTCTGTAATTTATGGAAATCCTAAATTGATTCATTCAACCATCTGCATAGCAGTAAACTTGTTGACTTCACCCAAATGTCTTACAAGTGAACTTACAGCTGTTAAATAGCATGCTTACAGTTACCACACTCAGATGACATATTTCTTATCAACTATTCAGTTTCTTTTGAGGAAAGATAACTATTCAAGGATTATTTAGATAATATTATGTTTTATAAATAGAAAATATTATTTTTTATAAATAATGTCAAAAATGCAGAAGCAGGGAAATCTTTTATTAATTCAATTTTATTCCATCTGAATATCATGTTGTGTTTCCACTTTAAATGAGAATGCTCAGACAAATCTCTTTTAGATATCCAAAGATTTATACCATATCTTGACACAACAAAACTCAAAACGTCAACCTGCACATTGTTTGGTAAACGCTGTTACGTCCTTTACATTCGACACGACCGAAGTTGTTTTAGGAAACTACTACTGTTTTGGTGCTATTTTCTGGTGAGCATTAGCAAAGACTTTCATTAGTATTTTAATTCAGCTTTAAATGTTACATATTAGCAGATAAACCTGTCATTTTGTAAAAACAAAAAGGCTCCAAGTGAATAAGTTGTGTTTTCATTTTTAACAAGATGAGATAACCTGGTTAGCTACCATTTAAAAGTAATCACAATGCCAAACAAAGTCTGTTGATGTTAGGAATTGCAGTTAAAATCAAAAGTAGTCATGGATTTGAAATGAAGTCTATAATACTTTGTAACAAAATCAAGACCATAATAAGCCATTTTTATTCCCTACCTAGGTAGTGTTTTACTCTAAATTTACAACAAAGCTATAGCAGTCAATGACCTCTTCCTCAATTTTTTAACAGTGGGATATATCACAGTAAATACCTACCAACCAAAAACACTTTTTTTTTTTAAATTTGGGCAGGAAACCTGCTATAGATTTATTATGAACATATCACTCCATATTGTTATTTAGAATGGAATCAAACCACAAAATTCTATAATCTCGTTACTCTGTAAAAACATTTTCAACAAAAATCTGCAGATGATAATAATAATGTACAAATATAAACTTTTCAGGCCATTTCACACACATTTAGACGTCTCACTCATTCATATATAACATTCATCTCAAATGCATAGTACTTGTGACTTTAAGAGAAAATGGGTGAAAAAACAGCAATGGCCAAAAACATACCTCTATTGGAAAAAAAATATAGTAAGTACATAAAAGCAAACCAATTTGTTATTGAATTCTATAATCTTTATTTTACCATGTACCAGTAAATCTGAAATATGGGAAAAAGATATATTGCTGGCACAGCATCAATTGTTGGTATGACAGGAAACATGATTGTTTTTTCTTTGGCCTTATATCTAATTTGGAAGTGCACCAAAATTGTCAGCTAGCTACCACTTAGCAGCAAGGCAGTTTAGGAGCAAATATTATACACCACTAAAGATAAAAATGAAAGATGCTTGTGATTCACTCTCATATATGATATTAATTAAAGGTCTGAACATTTAGTTTGACATATTAACATGTATGTCTTAGCTATGTACAAGGTTTTTTTGTGTACAAGCTCTCTTTCTGTTTTCGATTAATACTTTTTTTTTACATGAATTTTTAAGATAATCCTAATTTTAAAAAGTCATGAAAGAGATATGTGGGAAATGCAGCAAGATAAAAGTGGGAATGGAAATTTTTAAAATCTTCCAGAACAACAAAGCTCAAAATTTGATTCCATGACAAAAACACCAAAAACAGGTTTGATACTTAACAAAGACTTAATTAATATCTCTCACTTTCTAGTAACAAAATACAGGTCTGTAAATAACAAAGACTTAATTAGTATCTCTCACTTTCTAGTAACAAAATACAGGATCGATATATAACAAAGACTTACCATCTCATATAAAAACTGTGTATGTTGAAGTGTTGAACTTGTACCATTATACATACATGCTGCTCTCTTGCCCACACAGCAAAATGAAAACATACCTCAAGGAATACACTACATATATACATAAAATAACCATTTGTGTCCCAACCATATGTCACAAGATTCCAAGAAATAATTTGATAAATGCCATCTAGAAGAATTCATCCGTCAGTCAATCTTGATGGCCCCGTAAATTTTTCGGATGAAGAGGTAAGCAGCAAAGAAGCCGATGGCACCGGTCAGAAGCCAGAAGGTAAAGACCATAAGGAACGTGTAGCCGAAGTACAACAGAGTGGGAATGAATTCGGTTATCTCAAGCTGCAAAGCATATATAGTTTCAGTTAGAGTTTTGCAGTAATAAAATATTCATTTTGTACAAAATATTCAAACATCATATTCGTTTCTGATTAACAAACCTCTTCGACTTGGAAAACAATGAAATTAACAAGATTCCTTTTGAACCTTTCGTATTACAAACATCAATCTAATGGGTTTAAAACCATAACCAAATTTATGATTCTCTGCATTGCATAAAAGGTTATAAAAATGCCACATCAAGGGAGATGTCCTGGTGATGTTTTACTCCAGCAAATCGGAGTGATGTCCTAAAAATTATTGGTGTATCAATGTGTGTGTAAATAGACTTAAGTAACCATGTATAGCATAATTATTAACAAGACCCCTGATACATTGTCTTCAGAACTTGTAGCGGAGAGCTATTTATGTGAGCTATACAAACACCAACCAGAACACCTGACTTATTAATTTGACATCGTAATTATACATATCAGGCAACTCACTTACCTTAGTTACAAAGTAAAATAGAGAGTAAGCTAGAACGTAGATTGCTGATCCTCCAGACACGATGAATGATCTCCACCACCAATGATAGTCCTGGACAATAAAACATCGTCAAGTTATAGTGTACCATAATACCAAGGGAAGGGGAAATCACACAATCAGGGTACAGTGTGCTCGACACTTATTTAAATTATATCACAAAACTATTAATCTGTCACATCAGCTTGGAAGACAATAACATGTGGGAATTGATTATTGTTTTCCTTTGGACTATTCTTGAAAAAATGTTTTTAAGATCTGCTGACCCCAGGACTCCCAATAAACACCTACTATTCATGGTAAAGAGTTTCCAGCCTATTACTTCTATGCAGATTATTAATCAAATGCTGTGGTGCTACCTGGAGCACTGTGACATAATAGAATGTTTTACTGAAATACACTGTAAGTCTACAAATGTTTTTATTCAGCATATTTATTTAAAGCAAAATTTTGTATATCGCGTGGTAGTTTTTCTGACAGCATGACCAATGGATTATGGTACTTACCTCCCCACACAGCTGAAAGTAGACCATCACTATGGAGATCTGGGACACAGATATCACCAGGATTACAAACACCAAGAATAGAAACCCGAAAAGGTAGTAAAACTGGTTCTCCCAGATGGCCTGTAAAACAAACATGTCAATACTTAACAGAAAGTAAACCAAAATGTAGCTCTTTAACCTTAACAACAAATTTTATAGCAAGAAATTATACACTGTGGGCAAAAATCCTATGTATCAGCATATGCAATCTTTTTACGGGTTATCATTCAACCAAACTATAAAATTACTATTTTCCAATATTTGTAATAAGAAATGCACTGTGCACTCACTGTGAAAATGAAGAAGAGCTCAATAAACATGGCTCCAAAGGGTAGGATACCTGCCATCATCACCCTACAAGATGAATACAATTCTGATATCACTGAAGGTAAACCAATGTACAATCTCAATCCAAAATAAGTGCACACATAATATTAAATCTCGCATAAACAATAGTATTTATGAAATTCTGAAGACCTTAGTAGCCTAGAACCATAGTTCAACTTCTCTCAGTGTTATATCACTTTATGACAAGTTATACTGTGAATGTCTTACCATAAAGCATAATAAAGACATAAAAGGTATATAAATATGGATACAGTGCACATATTTATAAGACTGAATTTGTTTCCTCTCTAAAAATAAAAAAAATATAATTTGGAAAAACATCAAATGCCCTGCCAAAAATTTGTTATCATGCTTCTCTTCAATTTAATTTTTATGAGTATAGATTTTATATGAATAAACACGACACCAAAGCTTTCCAAAACCCCCAGTAAACCAGTGCTAGTGATATATTACACTTACCCAAGGGACGGATTCATGTACCACATTTGTTCAGGCACTTGACGAGGGATCTGGTTAGTTCTTACTGGGTGTTGGTAAGGCTGCAACAAATTACATCCCCGGCTAATTATATTTTACTCAGTACATCCAAAGAAATTTTTAATAAGAGGGAAAAAAGCATTGTCATACTGCTAATATTTTATATGAACAACTGCTGAAGTGTTTCTAACAAACCCGAACATTCTTTCGAGGTTCTGTTCCCAATCTGAGATGATATGCATTATCCTTTGGGACTTATCTACAAAACGTGTCCTCTGTGCAGACAACCATAGGAAAAATTCTTTTGAGAACATTTTTAAAGAAAATGGCACAACTCCATAAATCTCAGAGGTAACTCCAAATTATACCCTTTATTCACTTTCTTTCAATGGAAGTGTTGCATGTACCAAGTATCATTCAGATCCATGCATTATTTTGGTAAAAGCAATGTGAACAACATTTTTAAACAAAGGTGCATAACTCTAAAATAAGGGAAGTCACACTAATTTACATACTTTGACATCCCCTCTGTGGACCAAGGGGTCTGCGTACCAAGGGTCATTCAAATGTGTGGGGTACTTTCGGGTGAGTGGTGTCAACAATGATTTTATACAATTGCCATTGAAAATAGCTGGATAAAATGTAAGTCGCAGGTGCACAACTTCAGAGTGTCTCGACTGCATCAGTGAAGTTTATGAAAATCTGCTAAAAACTGTAGGAGTTGTACAGACAAGATTGTGTCTATAGTCAGACGGAAAGAGGACCAGATGCCAGTATATACCTCTTAACATTGTAAGGGGAAAAGTAAAACTTCTTATCCTTGTCCTCAGTGAAGACTAAGCCACAATGCTTGTTCGCCATGAAGACTTATAACCTTTATTCTTCAAGGAGGATACACAATACTTTTCCTCAAAGGAAAATTATCTCATAACTCTTGTCCTCCATGGAGACTACACCACAACCCTTGTCCTCCATGGAGACTAAACCACAACCCTTGTCCTCCAAGGAGACTACACCATAACCCTTGTTCTCCATGGAGACTACACCATAACCCTTGTTCTCCAAGGAGACTACACCACAACCCTTGTCCTCCATGGCGACTACACCACAACCCTTGTTCCCCATGGAGACTACACCACAATGCTTGTCCTCCATGGAGACTACACCACAATGCTTGTCCTCCATGGAAACTAAAGTTACAACCTTTGCTCTTCAAAGAGGTTAAACTAACAACCTTGGTCATCACCACAACCCTTGTTCTCCATGTATCCTTTCACTGATTCAACCAACAGCTACTATTCCCTTGTGGGAAACTGAACTGAACTCCTCCTTAAAAGTTGATTCCCAATGGATACTAAATCCACAATCCTTGCTTTATCAATAAAAGAATTGCTAACCACAAGTATAATTTTACAAAAATATACCTGTTTCCTGTAGCCAAAGTAGGATCCAATGAAGACCAGTGGAGTTGAGATTCCAAACCACATACATAGCAGGGCCAGCATAGTGGTGAACGGTAGCTGTAATTGTAAAACAGGTACTCATCCTGGGTGTGACAATTCAAATTCCTAACCTATAAATCTGGCTCTTGTTCAACAAACCTTCATCATATTTCTTTTTTTGAGATATATTACAAAATTGTTCATACATCTAGGTGCTTTTGGTCACTTTCAATTCTTAAAATATACAATACAATTTTTAATTTAAATACTTTGAAAAGATAACATTAACTTATTGTTTGCTTTAAAGACATATGAGTATTAGTTTCTTTTAGCTATGAACACTACATGGTTTTATATAGACTGATACAGTAACCGTCATACTTACTGCTCCTGAGGAGTGTTTTCCCCATATGAAAAAATTAAGGAAGAATGTGGTTCCAAACAAAATGCCAGGATAGAAAAGAGATGTCTGCAAAAGACAAAGTAAACAAAATACTTGCAGTCAAAGTCTGTCTGCTCGAAGCTCTATCTTAAAAAAGTTATTAAAAATTAATAAATATTATTGCCTTCTTGGGACCTGGCTTTTAAGAAGGGAAGCCCTATTAAAGTTACTTTGACAAACTGTTATACTGATATACCCCTTCCTCCTTCATCTTATAATTACTTGAAAAGATAATTTGATCTTTACTTATATAACCTTTTTTCTTTTCCTTACAAATGTAGAACAGTGCTAAATTATTAATGCAAGTTTTTCCCAATGAGCAAAAACTTCTGTGTGCTGTTTCCTTCAATTCATCATACACAGAAACCATTGAATACAATTCGCTTTTAGTGGAGTATTCTTTACAAACCTGTAAAGCTGCTTTCTTCCATGTATTGCCCTTCATTGTTTTGTATAAACGTGCTGAGAAATAACCAGCAAATACTCTGAAAAAGAGAGCACCATAGAGAAATTATTATCAACAAAAATAATTTCTCATTCATACCACCATCCTTTTCTTATGAGAGGTATTCCAGAAATTAATATATGGAAGGCAAAGAGGCACTTTTTTGTGACTCTTCCCCCCTCCAACACCACACAATGATTTTTATCCTAGGGCTTGCTTTATAAATGACAAAATTTATCTTTAAATAGATACCAACACCTATAATGATGTTCAATGTATTATCAATCATAAGTACTTCCCTCCCCGTCCATTTATGGTCACATGGAATAGCCCTAATGCTTAATCTAGCACAATTACTATCAAGAATAAGTGAGATTGTAGATCCTATAGTAATTGTTCATCTTATATGTGTAGAAAATACTGGAAACTTCACAAATGAATACACTGTACCATCACAATAAGGGAATAATGATAAATATTGTTCACTGTACTTACCCCATAAATACAAATAAGAATGTGGAGGCAGTGAGCAGAGCCCCTCTGGAGGCGGGTGACAGCATCCCCAACATGGCAAACACTGCAACAAATGTCAAAGGTCAAATAGCTAGGTAACTTCTACTTGCAAACCTACTCATATTTCATATTTTTACTCATGCTTTTTACATTTTCCACACAAAGTTACATTAACTTTATTCCTAATGAGGATAAGGCTCTCTCTCTCTCTTTCTCCTCAATGTCTCAAATTTCAGTCATCTAAAATTCTTTTGCTTTGCACTACTCATGAATCAGTATCAGGAACTCATCATAATTTGGAAAGCAAAAAGGTTGGGGAAAAAATTGGCCAGCAAATGGAATGCTTTTATGTTAAAATTATTTACCACTTAAAAAATGTCTAACTTACAATAGCTTATATGATTCATAATTTATATCCCCCCCCCCCCCCCAAACAAAATGGTTGGGGTGGGGTATTCATAATTCATAATGGACCTGAAAAGGGCAGTGATAAATGTCATAAATCTCTTAACATTTTTACAGTTTTGACTTACTGTTTGATACAACTTATAAAGGAGAGATAGCCTTTACTTGCTTCCCTTAAATACCTGCTGTTTCGGCATCTTTTTGGAACCATAACACATCCCAATAATGATGAGTGACATGCAGTAGATCATTAAAGGGACTTAAGTGGTGCTGCTACACCCCACCCTCCTTCTCCAAGATATATCAGTGTTGCAGCTAGACGGGAATGACAGGGTGCGGCACCCTGCCTCCAAATTCAAAAGTTAAAATACCCCCTGCACTTTGACCGGCCACCCTGCACCTTTTTCCAGCACCCCGTACCACCCTGCCCACTTTTTCTCGCCTCGGTAGTTGATACGAGTGCCAGACTTACAGTGCTCCTACCATCTGTCGGCAAACCGCATAATTCACACTTCCCCGCGATTAATAAACACTAAAAATTTGCAGTACCTTCCCGACAAAGACGAATACAAGAGCTCGGCAAAACAGCAAAGAAATGCCACAACCTTTGATCAATGTTCAGGTAGGTAGTATAAAACTTTATCTTCCAAGAATTGTAAATAATTTGTATGCCGATCTCTCAGAACATCCTAATATAATATATGTTGACCTTTTTTGCCTCCCTTAGAACTAAGTACATACCAATAGTGATGAGAGCCATGCAGAAGATTTGGAGTCCTGACCCGACCAGTGAAGCCAACAACTTGGTATGTTTTGGTGGCCTAAACACGTCACCATGTACCAGTTTCCAGCCTGTTTCCTCCATGGTCTCCTCCTACAACAAAACAAAGTAATGTTTAATGGGGAAAAACACCTCAAAAAACAATTCTAGCCTAAAAAACAACATCATCCTTTATACCCAGACACTACTGCCTTCTCCTACATCCCTAACATCATCCTTTATACCCAGACACTACTGCCTTCCCCTACATCACTAACATCATCCTTTATACCCAGACCCTACTGCCTTCTCCTACATCACTAACATCATCCTTTATCCCCAGACACTACTGCCTTCTCCTACATCACTATCATCATGCTTTATACCCAGACACTACTGCCTTCTCCTACCTCACTAACATCATCCTTTATACCCAGACACTACTGCCTTCTCCTACATCACTAACATCATCCTTTATAACCAGACACTACTGCCTTCTCCTACATCACTAACATCTTGCTTTATACTCAGCCACTACTGCCTTCTCCTACATCAATAACATCATCCTTTATACCCAGACACTACTGCCTTCTGCTACATCACTAACATCATCCTTTATACCCAGACACTACTGCCTTCTGCTACATCACTAACATCATCCTTTATACCCAGACCCTACTGCCTTCTCCTACATCACTAACATCATCCTTTATAACCAGACACTACTGCCTTCTCCTACATCACTAACATCACCCTTTATACCCAGACACTACTGCCTTCTCCTACATCCCTAACATCATCCTTTATACCCAGACACTACTGCCTTCTGCTACATCACTAACATCATCCTTTATACCCAGACACTACTGTCTTCTCCTACATCACTAACATCATGCTTTATAACCAGACACTACTGCCTTCTCCTAACATCATACTTTATACCCAGACACTACTGCCTTCTCCTACATCCCTAACATCATCCTTTATACCCAGACACTACTGCCTTCTCCTACATCACTATCATCATGCTTTATACCCAGACACTACTGCCTTCTCCTACCTCACTAACATCATCCTTTATACCCAGACACTACTGCCTTCCCCTACATCACTAACATCATCCTTTATACCCAGACCCTACTGCCTTCTCCTACATCACTAACATCATCCTTTACACCCAGACACTACTGCCTTCTCCTACATCACTATCATCATGCTTTATACCCAGACACTACTGCCTTCTCCTACCTCACTAACATCATCCTTTATACCCAGACACTACTGACCTCTTCTTCATCACTAACATCATCCTTTATACCCAGACACTACTGTCTTCTCCTACATCACTAACATCATGCTTTATAACCAGACACTACTGCCCTCTCCTAACATCATCCTTTATACCCAGACACTACTGCCTTCTGCTACATCACTAACATCATCCTTTATACCCAGACACTACTGACCTCTTCTTCATCACTAACATCATCCTTTATACCCAGACACTACTGCCTTCTCCTACATCACTAACATCATGCTTTATACCCAGACACTACTGCCTTCTCCTACATCACTAAAACATTCTTCTCCTATGACACCAAAAATCGTCAATGTCATCTTTTATGGCCAAAAACGAGAAGTTTTTCTCCAACAACAACAACAACGACAGGCCAAAACATTTTTTTTCTCTCCAACAACAGCAATGTCGTGTAATTTTTTTCTCCTACAACACAATCTTGTCATGTTTTATGACTAAAAACTAATATTTTTGGTGTTGACATAAAAATAAAATTAAAATTGCCAACTAAATTCTTATCACATACATATACCATGTACCTGCCCTCTTTTAAAAAAAAACATCATATAATACCAAAGCATGAGTTTTAATTTGTCTTACTTATGCACAAAGGACTTTATGGCAACGAAATAACAATTATTCACTTTTCACTTCATCACATGAATATATGTGTGCAAAACATTTATAAATCTAGAGATCTCTTTTTGTGAACAAAAACACATGTCTACCATTATTAACCAATAAAACTGGAAATTTCGTACTTATTTCACCTTTGACCTCGAGTCCAAGGTTACAGTGACCAATTGATTGTGCATTGCACATCATCTGTGGGTGGTGCAGGTATACTGCAAGTTTTATCAAGATAACTTCAATGGTTTTAAAGTTACAACCCACAAAAGATGTTACTTAAAATATGTGCTTATTTGATCTTTGACCTTGAGGACAAGATTACAATGACTTAGTGATATTACAGGTATACTTATATTTTCATACAGGTATGTATGATGTTTAAAAGTCAGAGCCCAGACCTCATGGTACTGAAAAGTATGCACTTGTTCAACCTTTGACCTTGAGTTCAATGTCACATTGACCTAATGACATTGCATTACTTATATAAAACAGAAGTGTGCAACTGAATTTGCACACGAGACCTGAGAAACCATATGTGACGTCAGGGTGGTACATGTACTTACAATATCGTCATCTCTGTTGTATCTTGCAATGTCCTTTCTCAGTGTCCTCACCATGATCATTGTCAGGATACCTGAAACATTACATACAGCCAACAGGTGAACAACAATGTAATTGTTCAAAACCTCTAGGCATCTATTTCAGGAGTTTTACAATACCGGGTCAATGAATTTACTGATGTCAATTTGTCACAGCCTGATGAGACTAATAATGACTCAAAAACAAAAACGAAAATCTTGCTCCTAAAGAAATGAAATATATATGTATATATATATGCAAAACACTCAAAATATATAAATATATATAATTTTTTGTGCAATATATGTCAGTAACAAATTCTTTCAAACACAGTAGACAGTGAGACCATGACCATTCAAATGATGTCTTTTATAAACAAAAAAGTATGCAGGTTTAATATCTATGTAAACAAAAGCTAACAAGTTATTTTTTAAATACATGTAATATACCAGACAAGAAGATGACTACAACAACACTGTTGATGATGGAGAACCAGTGGATCTGTACGTCGCTCATGGTGAGGTAGGTGTCCCAGCGTGATGCCCAGCGTAGGTCACTGGCTTCCCAGTCCACTTGATACGAAAACAGGACCTCTTGCTCTTCTAGAACAACAAAACAAGAAACAGTTCTGACAGCAAATCAATCAAGATCGTTCTTGAAAATAATTAGCAAGGACAGACAAATATCTGAAAATGTTCGATGGTTTGGGGTTACTCTCCATTTCATCAAATCTTCATCTGAAATCAACATATTAGCAGTTTAATAAAAATTATTGATATTCTTTTTTAAAATACCGGTAAGTGAAATAATGATGACAAATACAACCTTGCTATGGATTGCATATATAATGAGACCAACTTAGTGATTTTTTTTTCTATATGTTTAAATAACAGTTATTAACCACAGAGTTCATCCCAGGGCTGTGACAGAAAAAGATCCAGCAAGTTTGACAACAGGCCATATAATTATTCTTTGTTGGTCTTTGTTAATATTTTTTTATTATTCATGGGTGGTTTCATACAAATATAAATTTACATGTGGTGTCTGCATTTAAACTAAATGGCAATTTTATTCATTTTAAAAACTAGAAATGTTTCTGTAAGACATTGGATGTTCAAGCTCCCACAATTAAGATACAGGTCAAGGTCAAAAGTCAAGGTTACAAACAGTCATGCAATACTGTGTACCCACTGTATAGCATTCACAAGTAAAGTTGTGTGACCCTAGCTGAATTACTGAGTCCATAACCGACCTCAACACAAAAACCAAGGTCACAAAAACATCATTGAACATGTTCTACTCATATTCCAAGGCACATAAGTATGTGAAGTTGTGCCACTCTTAACTGCAGTACTTAGTCCATAGCTGATCTAAACGTAAACAATTATTAGGGCTGATGTGCAGACAAGGGTGATGTAACATGCCTCCCAACACTTTGTGAAGGTATCCGTTACTATCAGCAGAGGTAAGATATGTGCTCTGTATTTTTTAAGATGTGTATAATTGTAATATACATACATGTATCATTTTTTTCAGTTCCACAGATTGTACTTGTACTATTATTTTTATCTACTATTATGATATGAAACTTTTTCTTTTAATTCAGTTTGTGATTGTAGTTTAAATTATCCTGTCATCAATGTATAACCTCACCTTTTTCATTGATGGCCTGAGGTTCAGCTGCTCCTTGTCCTTTTACCTTACAGGAACCTTCCTTCAGCTCCATGGCGTCAAATTTTACACTACAATCACAACACTCCACCTATCACACAGGCTATCACAAGGACCAACGGTAAACTTTCTGTCAAACATGACCACCTATTAGATTATCAATTGATCATTTCAATGACGGAAAATTAGGAAACTAATTTTATATATATAGTTTCCTAATTTTCCGTAAAATTTTGTAAATATTTTTATAAGTCCACTTACAATTAACAATCACTTTAGACCAATTCACCCAAATATAAATCCCTTCACATACCAGGTATTATCAATTATAAATGCCTTCCCGTCACCTCCTATCTCCTGGGTTTTTTTTACAAGAAAGTTTAAATGTCTTATCATTATTTCAAATATGTTTAGTTTGTAAGTTTGTTTTTATTTTATTTTCAAACATATGCAATTACCTTTTTGCTTCAACTTCAAAGCCAACCACACGGTACTTTTCCCTGTAGAACAAAAAAGGAAATCACAAAGTCAGTAAATATTGGAAACATACACAAATTCCATAAAAATACCAGTACCAAGTAGCTGTAATAATCTACACCTACAGGCCAATCAAAATAACATAACCATCATGTAGTGCAAAATGGAAAAGGATTGTCCGGTAATTATTTGGTTAAATACTCATACAAATTTCAACCTAAATTAAAAAAAACAAACAGGTTTCAGCTTACTTGGCAAAGAAAAAAGGTCACTCTCTGAACAAATTGAAGAGCCATAAAGTTATTTTTGTGTTCTATTTCTAACAAGTATCAAACAGTGTCAAGGTCTTAATATCGCAATACACAGGTAAATCGTATCGTACCACAATACAGAGATGAAATATTGTTGTATCGCAATATTTTTCAAAAGCATATTTTTATGTATCTGCTTGGTGTTTTAATTTTGCAAATTACTACAAATTCTAACAGATATGCCAATAAGCATAACACAGGGTTTTAATAGTCCAAGTTTTGTAATCGATGGTTGGTTTGACAAAAATCTTAAATCTATGTAATCCATGTTATATATGATTAAGTTTAATAACATTCTGACAACAACTTATTATAAAATTGAGCACATCCTTCCTATGACAATATATTGGGATACATATCACACTATATTCATTCTGTATTACAATATATCGTGATACACTCTTGGCGTATTGTGACATCCCTACTATTTGAACAGCCCACTATCTGATGATGTTAGGCTAAAATTATTGCAACAAGAGGCCCATGGGCCTTAACGGTCCCCTGATATATTTATACAGAGAGTTGATTTTTGTTTTAAACATGAACAGAAATATTATTCAAAGTGACAAAAAACAATAAAACCACCTTATTCAATATCTAGCATGCAGATTTAAGACTGAAAAGTATTTGAAACTAGCACTTCTGATTCTAAACAAGGAAAATGAAGAAATTTTATTTTAGCACACAGACTCCATTGGGCCCCACCCTACAGCCCTTGGGGGTAGGGATGGCTCAAAATTTACAAAGTATCAAACTGTCAACTTAGGGTTATAATTCCAATCAAGTTATCAACATGTAATATTCAAAGTATCATTTGCCATTATAAACCATAACAAATTTAAAGTACAATAAGCCCCTTCCATCTAGGAAGAGTATTTGATTCTACCATATCTGGGTCTTGAGAAGAAGATTTTTGAAATTTCAGTCAATTCGACCCTTTTTGGCCCCACCCATCAGCCCCGGGGGGTCAGTCAGGGCTGATATGTGCATAC